ACAATTGGGTAATAATAATAATAATAATAATAATAATAATAATAATAATAATAATAATAATAAGGTACAATTGATTATCATGGCAAGTGCTAAGTCAGCGAGTACACATCTTCAGATACTAGTAGATCTAATTTCTTTCAACACATTCAAACATCATGTCCTTTTCACTGAATCTTTGACTGTGTTACTGGAAACAGCTGGAAAAAAACTTAACATAGCTGACCGCTGTTTCTCCTGGGATGCAGAAATTAAAATTACTGTACCTGTTCATTGTCTCGGACAGTGTCCCCTTGTGTTCGCGTGCACGCTGCCACCTCGTGGCTACGTGGTCTCTGTGCATACAGCAAGAACTCTTCCACTTCCTGCACCGGCAGAACACCTGGCCTCCACAGCAACTGGTCCTCACTGCTGTAGGCTAAAGGGACAAAGAAAGGTAGAGAAAATTAGGTGACATGTAGTGGAAGGGGTAGCGAAAGAAGATCAGGTATTAGAAATTGGGGGAGGAAGAGAAAACTGATTAAGAGACAGAAATAGAGATGGTAAAGGTAGATAGAGATGCGTTTGGCAGTGTCTTTTTGAGTCACCAAAGTCAGTTTTACATAGAGGAGCTTTAATCAACTAAAATTATTTGTTGTTTTGAAGACTAAGTTCATAAAACATGATAGACTTGACTACATAAAGTGGCAGTTAAATCTTGTTTCTAACCCCAGCAATAAATAATATTTTCAGTTGCTTACCTCTCTCCTGGTAGGTATATGGACCAAATGGAGGGATTTTTGCCTGGTACATAGAGCCAACCATGATCTCCTGAGAAGGAAGACACAGTCTGTCAAATATCGGAAATGTGTCATATATGCTAATTAAGGCAGAAATGTCTGAGCTGTGTGGCAGTATTTTCTCTGCATTGCATGAATGAAAATAACTAAGTGCTGCATCTTTTGACAGCCAATGAAAACCAATAAATGAGTGGCTGGCATGTGGCAGAATAGTCCCAGGAATTTTCCTACAGTCCATCATTTATGCCCAGAAAAGGTCTGGGCATAGGTAATAATTATGGCAAAGGTCAGTACCAATGCAGAAAGAACTGTGTCGTCAGAAGGATATGTACAGCTTTTGAAGCTCCCACTGCTCATTGGATCAAATGCAAGCTAGACCCTTTACCGAAGAATTTATTAAATATCTCATCTTTTATTATTGCCTGATAATCTCTCCAATAAAAAAATGCAAACTGAAACATACTGTACAACATTCTTAATGTCTCTTATGTAAACTGAGTCAACTTGTCTAGTGGTCATGAGATGTGTGTTATTGCCAACAGTGGCCTACCTTGTGCTCTTCATTGGAGGGAATAGAAGCATTGGAGTCCTCATCTGATGAGCTGACTAATGTGTCTTTGTCTCCACCTGAGAGACAAAAAATCAGAGAGGAGGATCAGTCAATCATTTCAAAGACTGTACACAAGCCGAATGTCAAAAGATATTGTCAAAACTCTTGATGCTATATTAAAGTCATGTCTTTCTGCTGACAAATCACAATAACTTTTCTGAAAGTTTTTAACCATTATTCAACAATTACATAATACTGAGATAAAAATCTGTTTCCCAAGTGCAACCCACCAAAGACAGCAGTAGGTGGTACTGAAAGTAATAGAAACAGGGTGGTGAAAAAGCCCAATCTAACTCAGTATAAAATACAATTGAGGATAAAGCAGCCAACAGAAAAAAAGAAAAGAATCAGACAGGAACAGGCTCTCCATCTCTTTTACCTTTAGAGAAAGTGCATGTTAATGCATCTATCCTGGATCCATAAAGGATACAAAAGTGTTCCTGCCATATATTCCGTTTTTATGATTTTTGTGGACTCAGCAACAATACTGTCACTCAGTTCAAACAGAATCACTACCAGGGAATGGCTGTTTGAATATATTTAAACTGCTGTAGTTCAGAAATGAGTGTCTTTGACATCATTCAGTCATATGGAAAGAGACACATAAAGCAGTATGCTGTCATACAGGAAGGTCCCATAACCAATAACACAAACCAAATCAAAGCTTTTATGTTATTTCATGACATTATAAACTCTGACATGTCATGTTATTGAAATGTCCCGCCTAGCTGTAAGTAACAAGTTGCAGTCTCAGCAATGCACTGATTTAAAATTGGACTATAATAAAATATTTCACCAAAAACAAAGACCCCCAGAATGTTATTTCTTTCAGTGCAACTATACACTGTTCCATCAGAAAAAGGCAGAGTGGGCATGTAATAATAATAATAAACATTATTTGTATAGCACTTTTCAAAAACACAGTTACAAAGTGCTTTACAGAACAAGATAAAATTGCACACATAGTCAAGACAACAAAAACACAACACTCTAAAACACAGGACCTGATAAAACAGTGTGTGCATAAAAACAGGTAAAATAAAAATAAAGGTTTGAGTAATGAATTAAAAGAAGGTACTGAGTTAGCTAACTCAGTACCTGAACTTAAGTTCAGTTGAAGGTCCAGTGAGTAACATTTAGGAGGATCTATTGGTGTATAATTACCTGACTATAGGAATTGTTTTTATCTACAGACATTTATCTTCTTCATGCTAGGTGCCACAAAATCCTACACACTGGTCCTACCTGAGGAGGCAGCAGATAACCTCCGAGTAAACCTATAATGTGAATGTGAACGAAGGGCTACTTAACAGGTAGACAGTGTAATATTGCAAGGATGGGTGTGATAATGGTGTTGTCTCTTATGGTCTTGTTTTTTTTAGTTTTTCAGGAGCCTGGCAGCTGATTTCTGAAAAAACCTTTTGGCTGTGCCCTGAATACAGTAAATCACATTAATCCAAATGTGATGAGATGAAAGTATAGGTGACTTTTTTAAGGTCTGCATGGGATGGCTCAAGATCACACTCAAAAGTGGGTGAAATGTTTGACATTGGGGGGCAGGTTCCCAGTTTAAAGTCACTAGCCAGCCTAAAAGCCAAATAAAATGACCTCAGATTTGGGCTCATTGAGCCAGAGAAAGTTTTATGACATCCATTATTTAATATCAGAGAGACAAGAATGTTTTTTCGTGTCACTATCAGTTAGTGGAACATAAAGTTGCGTATTGTCCGCATAACAGTGAAAATGTATGTTATACCTGCAAATTATTTGACCCAGAGGAAACTAATAGAAACTTATATAGGACCAAGAATTGACCCCTGGGGAACAACATATGAAAGGAGGGTTGGGGATGAGGAGAATTCGAACGATCTGCCAGAAAGGGACGAGTAAAACCAGGCAAGAGCGCAGTGTCTTCAATACTAAAAGTTTTCAAGGTGATTTATAAAGATATTGGGGTCAATTGTATCAAATGTGGAACTTAAGCAGCAAGGGCAAAGCAAGAGACTTTTCTAAAGTTTTTGATAAAAAAAAGGTTTAAATTTGGTCTAAAATGGTTTAAAACAAGAGGGTTGACTGGAGTGGTGATTGCTACTACCAATAAAATTGAGTTTCTTGACATGGGTTTGTTCCATTTGAATTGAATATATAAAGCTATCCCTACATTTTTTTTAACTTGTCGTTGGCAGGGACATCCTTTAAAATGTCATATAGTCATGTGTATGTGTACTGTACATCCTTCCGTGAGTTACCTCGGAGGCGGCGGAGCAGATCTGAGGTGTTTGAGGTGACTGAGGGGGTGAGATCATCAGCTGATGATTCTGCTTCCTCCTCCCCAGGAAAGAGATCCTCAGTTATCTGATCCTGTACAATAAACATGAAAAACTATATGAAAACACCATATACCAAAGAACACAACAACAACAGAACAGAACAGACTAATAATATATAATAAATTATTGGTTTTCCGTGTTCTTGGCGTTGCTTCTCACCTTGTCCAGTGTCATATCTGGCAGACTGGCAGCCACTTGACAGGTCTCCTTCTCTGGATTGGACACTGTGTAGCCGTACAAAGCCAGCAGCTCCTCCAAAGGAAGCTCACTGGCCTACAAACAGAGAGTTACAGAGGGAGACAGGGACAGGTGGAGGGAGATGATTGGGTTACTTCTACATCTTTCAATTCAAGGAGCTCAAGGACACTCTTGGCAGTTGTTCTTCCTTTGCCAAAATATTTCCATAGCTCTCACTCAGTTTGCAGAGTCGCTGTCAAATGACTAAAACATTTCCAAAATGAACAAGGGACAAAACGCAGAACAGGTCAGTCAGATTTGAGGAGTTGCAGCAGATGTGATAATCAACATCAGTGTGTTTTATATCATTTCCTGAGCTTTGTTTTTTTTAATTTTTTTTTTACCTTAAACTAAAAATATTTAAGGACGTTATCTTTCTTTCTTTGCTTTGCATTGCATTTTGAGACAGACAATGGACACAGGTAGGTGCATAATCTGTTGACTGCTGCTGCTGAATAGACAGCTGCTACAGCTCTAACTGTGGGCTCTGACACAGAGCTTTCTACCTGTTGCGAACTTGATGCACTGTCAGACTGCCATGGGATATATGATGTAAATGTGGTTTTCTGTCTGCAATCTCCAGAAAGAAGGTGCATAAAAACAATGCCAATTTTATCTGTTTGTATCCAAATAATGTTTCAGTTACATAAAGTGATGGATGATTGTGGTACTTACTGAAAACTGTGTTGTTGACATGTTTTTGCAGTATGAATATGAATACTGTGACGTGATGCAGTAAGTTTTGCAGCCATTACATTCCGATAATCAAAGAAGAGACAGCTACTAATTTTAACATATACAGACATGGCTGAACTTGACCGTACAGTGTGGGACTGCGCTGCCATCTTCATGGGGCGAAAGTTCTCCTCCAACTCCTCTAAGGCCTGTTAAGACTTCTGCTTCTCCTGCTGAGGGCCTTCATCACTGTACCTCCCCCACTCTCCACTAGGCCACAACCTCCACACTTATCTTCAGGGGCTTTTCACCCACCTACACACACAAAAACAAACAAAAACACACAGCATTATTTGTACAAACATTCGTGTAAAGTCATGTAAAAGCAGCATGGGGGTGCATTACAATATGGCAGCACATTCCTCTGTGCATCTGTGGGGCACGTGCACACATGTGCGCACAAACAACATGAGGGATCAAATGGTGGCTGATACTGGTTCATCACATTACAGATCAGCTGATTCCTGATTTTTTTAAACGCTCTTTTGTAATTTATGAGATCTGCTGCAGAGATTAAAGTACAATTCAAAGAAACATCTGCAATGATGGTCTGTGGCACTCAATTGTAACTTTAATATAGTCTTACTTTATAGACTTTTCCTAAATAATAAGATAAAAATAAAATTGTTTGGTTTTGCTTAAAAACATAAAAATATAGGAGTTTTTCATAAAAGAACGGCACATTTTTCTACTGTGTCAACATGTCTTCCAATACAGGCTTTGTGCTAAAAGAATTAAGTCAAAGTGGGACATATGCCTTTGATGAAGACATGCAAGGTGAGGCCACATGAGAGTTTACTGCAGAAGTGAAAAAGTGGCAGTAGGCTACAGGACAGGCTGTAAGAGGGTGTACCAATCCCACCCTGTAAGTGTGCAAACACTCACTTAACTGGATTATACCTCTAAGGACACCATTCCTGAGCTAATAAGTTGTAAAAGTGCAGTGAAAACCTAAATATTCATGCGGAGTGCCTCTCCCAACCCATCGGGCGCTGTCTGTCTGACCAGGGGCGCTTTCCTGTGACTTGGTGCTGAACGTCTCTTCCTCTCCCCGGCTCTCTGCGAGCAGCACAAGAAGGAAATAACTAGTTCTCAATATTTCCGAAAGAGACGGTCGGAGTTTACCGCCGCCGAGTCATGACATCTCTCCCAACTTTTTCACTCAACCCACTTCGTCGGCGGGGGCGCACCTGAAATAGTTCAGCACCACCGTTGTAAAACCCCGCCGGGCTCCCTATTGTTTCTACGGCTTTACTATCAAGGCAGAGGGAATGGCTCTTTAAAAGCCAAGAACGCGGAGAGAGGCGATACGCTGGAGAGGTTCTCCATTTCTTCCCCCGCTTCCCAGTTAAAATGCCCACAGTAGCGCTCTTTCACCCGGGGTTCACCGGCCAGCGACACCGCCGATAGTCGTGTGTACCTTACGGAGTGACACAAGTCTTAAATTCGGTCCAGTTTCTCAATCATTTGGGTCATTACATTCCTCGTTTTCGCTTACTTACCTCCGCCATTCCGTTTCTGCGCAAGCTGACTATTGCCCGGATGTTGTAGGTCTGCTCTGCTGTACAGCTCCGTTTATTACTGCCGCAACGATTCAGCAACAGCGACGGTGCTACAGTTAGGTGCAGAGTTATATTGACTATTTCCAAGTAATTTAGCTATTTTTGTCTCGCTCGACAGCTGGCATTTGCGAATTTCACCATAGTTTTGGATAAGTTCCCTCCCACTTTCGGTATCACTTCTAAAAGTATATTGTTAGTGCAATATATAGCTTATATTTTAAAGGAGAACGTGAAGCTACAAGTCTTGTTTAATATATTCTTGCGGTTGTGTCCTATTTTATAAGCTATGAATATTATTTGGCTCCCGTGTTGCGCCCTCTGCTTGTTTAAACAACAGGTTGGCGCTGAATATGATTAATTAATTATTTAAAGTTACACTTAAATGCCATGATGGTGCCTATAGGCTCGTGTTGGTTATGATGTGAATGAGGGAGGGGACAGGACATGGACAAAACAGATAAAGATATAAGGCTCTGTCCTTCAGCCAATGACTGCTTACAGCTCCCAAGAGATAGGAGAAGTAGAGTTAATGTATATGTTGACCAACACGTGACATTACTCAACCACAAAAAAATACCAAGCAGATCATATGATCTGACAGTACTAGTTTTGATATGAAACAGCCACTTTAAGTGAAACACAAACTACTTGCAAAGTAAACCAAGAAAAGTCATCACACTGGTCACATTACTTAGTCTACATCTAGATCTTATTTTAGAGATAGTTTTGATCCCTATATGGATCATAGGTACAGACCTGAGCACTTCCCTTTCCTAAAAGTGTTTAAATATTAATGTAGGAGTACATCTACTTCAACATGATGTTAATTAACTAAAGTGTCTGGACAGTTAAGTGAAGTAATAGTGGCTCACTATGAAGTTGTAGTGCATAAACTTAACATGGACCTCACATCATTTTCACCCATTTCTTATTAAGGAGATGTTTGCTTATTGTTTTGTCTATGGATGTGTTTAATGAATAAAATAAATTATTTATCATTTAGAATTAACAATGCACAATGGCAATTACACAATTCAATGAATATGGGCTCAGTCTAAAATGTACTGTACAAATCTGACTAGTTTTAACTCCATGTTTTTCAGCTGTCCACAACACCTCAGTCATTATGCGTCAACAGGTATTGCAGAGAAAAGAATGGGGTTTGTGTTCAACAAAAGGCTAAACCACACAGAGAAAACAGAACAAAACACAATTGTTTGCAGGGAGAGTGTGACTGCATACTCTGGGTTTTCTAATTGTGTCAGGTCTACTTTTAGTGTATAGAAATGTAATCTGAATGGCATGAGAAGGTTTGTACTGCCCAGGAAAATATTTGAGGTGAGGATCTTTGAGTATGTGTGTGTGTGTGTGTGCTTTAATTCCTCATTGGGATGGGTATGTAGCTAGTTAGTTGGTATTGCCATTTAGAGTTTTGCACAATAAGGATTTGAACCCTAAAGGATAAACAGGATATACTGTACAGAACAATAGATGTTAACCTACTGGAAATCAATTCAGAGCCACACAATTGTCACAGCATGTAACTGACAGGATAACAAAAAGCTGCTGACCTGTACACACAGTGTAGACATGACCAGACAAACATGGACTTTTTAAATAATATAAACTGTCAGTCATGTAGCAGACACGCACACATCTGCTTCTTTAATTTATCTGCATATCTAATATTTTGTGTTTCATGTCTGCAGCTGGTATGAACCTGTGAGAGGTTTGGGTGCAAACCTGGCTGGATCAGGACAGTATATAAGGTGTTCATCAACAGATAGTTCCTCCCTCACTGAGAGACCTCTCCTCTCTTTAATTACCTCCAGTGAAAGGGTTTTAGGATTATACGAGCAAGGGCACTTTGTTGTGTCTCTTGTTTCTTCAGGATCTTTAATTCTGTGTGGGTGAAGAAGAAAAGCTGTTTACAAGAAGAGCAATTGAATGTTTTTCTAAGGCTTTGTTGTGCTATGTGTTTTGAGTTTTGATGAGGAGAAAGAGGGCAATTATGTAATACTTTATATTAAAACCCACAAATGTAGTCAAATTTTGTTTTGCTGTACATATGGGGTAAATGCTTACCAGTCAAACAAGTCGAAAAATCAAAAAGGGAAAACAAGAGACTTGGAAAGAAGGGTTAATAATTTTCCATTTACACAAGAACCTTTTTATAATCAGATACCTATAAAACATTTGCAGGATGCAGTTATATCACCGCTAACAAAACTAAAAGTGTGGGGAAAATGTGGTAGCAATACCGACATTCTGATGAACGTCAACAGTAGTTATGGTATATGTTTAAAAATTGTAAAGAAAAAAATAGTTTAACAAATAATCCCAACTCAAGGTCCACTTGCTAGCTTTTTTCCAAAGCCTTCAATCATGTCACATGGTTTTTATTAGTGGATGGAGTTTAACATGAGGATAGCATTGCTTTCGTGACGTCTTGTCCATGTTGGCTTACAAGTTTAGCATGAAAATTCATTCTTGACCTTGTAAATAATAGTTTGAATCCCAATTCAACATCCACTCACTAGCTTTTTCCTGAGCTTTCAGCCATTTCACAACACAGACAAGAAGTCCTAAAAGTGCTATGGAAATTGAGAAATTTCCATCGACGGATGTACACTGCATGCTATGACTGAGAGCTCAAGTACTTGAACCTTGAGTTGGGATTGTTTTGTTAAAGTACTATTCTCAAAGTCAAGAATGACCTTAGCAAAGATAAAACTTGGGAAACAAATTTTAGTTTTTGGTAGGTACTGTAATTAAGTGTATGGTGTGTAAATATTAGGTTGTTTTTAATTACCTAAGGGGTACATTAATGTTGTTACCAGGAAACAATTTTAAATTAAAACACGTCTTTGGTGTCAATGTTTGGTTGTGGTACAGCTTGTGTGCATTCTCGAAGTTGTTATTGGGAAACAAAATGAGAATTCAGGGAAAAAAAGGGTATTGAGGAATCTATAATGCTGTTTGGTTATAAAATGAGGAACTTACTAAAGATACTATGGTAATGGGGGAGATTCTGAAGGAAGCTTATGCAAATGTGGTTGCCCCAACACACACGTGTGCAGGATATATGCCTGAGTATTTTTTTGCATACTCCTGAAGAGTGGAGGGGTTTTGTGGTTGCGTATTTGTCCTGACATGATATGGCAGTATAGCATCTGTTGGTGAGGGCTTAAGTTAAGTAAGATTGTGGAGCTCTTCAGATATACCCCTGTAGTATGTGTAGTGATAGATCAGTAAGGAGAAAAACTCATTGGTTGGAGGCTGCTCGGGATGCTGGAGTACAATGACACAAAAATGGTGGGTTTATTTAAACAAATTTAAGTGTAAACCTCAATTTTTCATGTAAACATAATGTTATGTCAAGTTATTTCTTTTTTTCAGGACAAATTATTATCTAACTGTGTTTTGTTGCAATGGGATAGTAGATGATAATAGGAGAAAGAGTGCAGTGTAGACTTCAGCCCACAGGGTGCAGTATGGACATGGTAATGTTCTGGATGTTGCAATAATAAAGAAGAATTTGCAGTGCATCGTGGTGAACTGGGCATTGAACCATGACCCAGTGGCAGGGAGCACTACCTGTGTTCCCAGTGATGAAATCTGTATGTCAGGCAGAGATTATGCTTAGTGGCTGATGATTGTTTTGTTTTTATGCTTTAATGCTTTTATGTGTGTTTTCTCAGCCAGTCTTACTTTTTATATGCCTAATCCCACTTTTATCCTTCGCTCCTCACATTCTGTCTCTCTTCATGGCATATTTACTGTGAAGTGTACTCGATGTTCTGTGGTCTGTTATTCTATAGTGTAAAGTGCTATGTGAGCGCCCATAAATAGCACATTCCACCATGGTTGTCTTCATTATTCAGTCTGTGGGTTATGACTTAGGCCTAGTGATAATTACATTTCAGTGTGCCTTGTGGACTTTTCTGCTGAAGGGAGCAGGAAGTAAGAAAACTACAGATACAGAGAGGACAATACAAACTGAGTCCTGTAAACATTCAGACTTTGAATTGTTCATTAGAGTGTGCAGAGATGGCACACTGTTCTCTTACAGTTTAATAAGCATGCTTTTCATTCTTTCTTTTAAGATGGCGATGTTAGGAGGGGGTCCAGAAGCAGGTCTGCCCGTCCCTTCCACGACTCAACTAACCATGCTAACCTGCTACTCCCAGGCGCCCCAGCCAGATGCTACAGGGTAGTGAGCTAACAGGCCTCACTTACAAAAACAAAAAAAATAACCCTGCTGTGAGATATAGGTGTTTGTGTGTGATGATGGTGGTGATGTATAGAGGTTCAGGATGGCTAAATCGGAGTGAATGCTGATCAATCTCCCCATATGTAAATAAGAACAAATTTTCCATTTAAAATGTGCTAATATTATTGCCAGTAAAGATGAAGAGTTTCTCAGTGTGAACCAGCTGGACTGAGGGTTGACCTTTTCCTGCATCCATCCATGACTGATTTCTAGAGTCCCGCGACTGTGTATGTGTCTGTGAGTCACCATGGCAACCACTGAGCTGTCATAAGAGTCTGCCACAAACCGAGATGTCACCCATACAGTATGTCACCAAAACGAGTGATCCCATGAAGCACCATGTGACTCTATGGTCATGACCAAAGTATGTTGATTCTTTTTAACCATGAAAAATATTTAATGGTGATTTAATGCATCTTGAATACATCCTACAGATGGGGGACAATTTAAAGAAAAAAAACAACACAAACCTCCTAGTCTCTGGAATCCCCTCTATTCTCCCATAGGTGTTTAATTGAGTCACATAATCTTCATTCTCATCAAACCATTGAATGAACCGTCGTGTCCTATATGAAATTCAGGTTTCTCCTTTGTTTGTAGTCCTGGGCTGTTATGATAGTGACACAAATACATCTAGCTTGCTGCTATAACCAGACCAAGTAGAGAATGGGGAAAAATATGTAATTATATGATAGTAAGTATTTGATGGAACAGTGTGAATGATTTAGTGGCATCTAGTGGTAAAGTTGCAGATTGCAACTGAATTCAGCTTATTCTTCCAGGCGTGTAGAAGATACTAC